TGTGTGTGTGTGTGTGTGTGTGTGTGTGTCACTGTTTCGCAGGGACGTCATGTCCAAGATTGGGACTTTTGTAAAATCTGTCAACGTCATTCTTTAACGTCCCATTTATAAAACTTGTGATGATGAGTCACTGTCTGTCTGTTAGTCATCTTGCTTCTAATGGAACATGCACATAAAGTATTTCCCTTCGAGATGATAACTGAATAAAACCTATTCATCCTGTAAATTCTATTTTTATGCAGCAGATTATGCCGTGGCTCATAGATCAGGAAGGTTTTGCTTTCTGGAATTCAAGACTTCAATACATCGTCCATCAAATCCAGCCCAGCCTCAGCTGCAGACTCATTTTTCTCTTTTACATTCTTTCTCTTCCCTCCAGGTGGGTGCTCGGCCCGAGTGGTGACGGTGTCTCCCGGTCCGCTGATCCGGGTGGAGGGTCAGCCGGTGTCCATCAGATGTGACGTCAACGAGTATTCGGGACCTCGTGAGCAGGTGATTGTCATCGTTGCACTGCTGGAATTTTTTATGTAGGAGCTGCGGATGAATCATGAAATGTCATAGCTTAAATCTGTTGTAATAAATAAACTACAATTGCACAATGCATACCTCAGATAAGACCCAAGTAAATTACACACACTCATAGATATCCGTTTCCTGGGAAATTGGTGATAAAGTAAAAAAACACCCTATGTTGCAATGTTGAGGAAGGTGGAAAAAAACAGGTTGTATTTAATGCCCTCACAAATTTGAGTCACTGTGAGTAGCAATAAATTCTAAAGCAACTCTAAAAAAGAAGCTTGTAAAAAATCGGAAATTAGGAAATGAGACAAACTGAATCGGGCTTTAAAAATCGAATTGATTTGATTCTCTATTTCGCATGTTGGTCATGATCCCTCTCTGTCCTGCAGGATTTCGAGTGGGTGATGTCCAGGGAGCCGAGCGCGACGCAGCTGAAGATCATCTCCACCTTCGACGCCAGCTACTCCCACTCGACGCTCAGCAAGCGCGTGGCGTCTGGTGACATCTCGGTGGTGAGGCTCAGGGACAATGAGGTGGAGCTGAAGATAGCGGAGGTGAAGGCGCTGGACGCCGGGTTCTACTGGTGCCAGACGCCGAGCACAGACTCCGTCATCAGCGGCAACTACGAGGCTCAGGTCCAGCTCATTGGTATGGGAGAGGAGGACTGTGTGTGTGTGCGTGTGTGTGTGTGTGTGTGTGTGTGTGTTAGCTGGCTTCGTTGGTTCATTTAACAGCCATCTCCATGACTTAGTAATGCCCTACAGACCATGTATATACCCTCTTGCGCACACACACACACACACACACCGGCTGGATTTAGATGATTATAATCGTAAATTTGGCTCTGACACACACACTCACTCACTCACACACACACACACGCACGCACGCACACTCTGTGCACATGTCAACACACTCATGGTGGGGAGCAGATGTCAGGTGGGAGAACTTGGCTTGTGTCAAGTGAAGGCCAGGGAGACGCAGATTTTGAACGTGAAGCACAAATTCTGAGCAAAGAATATAAATACCATCGTCTGACATTTAAAGGAAAACAGTCCAGAGGGTGAAGTTAAAGTGAGTGGGGGGAAATTATCGAAGAGTTAGTTGTATCATCTTATCACTGGAATCAAAAATGTCTATTTTAGACTCAACGTACCTGAAAAGTTTCGATAAGGTAGCTAAGAGATTTCAAATTAAAAGCACCAGTTGACGTCTTGTCGGCGTAAAATTTCTGCAGAGTTGAAAATCCCACAGTCAACGTTAAAGGGAGCTCCACAGAAAGCTCCACACCTCGCCACACCTAGCGGCAAGTCTGAGGACGTCTTCGCTAACTGGCGTCTAATAACACAGCTAAAGAATGTATTATCGCCTTACTTTACCGATGACAGTGAGTGCCCCCTGTTGGCTCACGAGACAAACTCCTTCTGGTGGTCCGATGCGCCTCTAGACTGTATATGGCCTCATTTAAACCTGAATATGAGCATAATGTTTCCATGGGAGCAGCTGCTGAAGAGCAATAAAACCAATACAACCTGTTTTAGTAGAAGTGAACTGTCCCGACAAGTCGAATAATGATACAGGAGATAAAAACCGTATTCACCACCCTGCGTCACTCCACTGCTGATAAGATGCAGCACTTCCTCATCTTTATTTTTATAAATGACTAAAAAAACAAATTACATTGACTTAACTTCTGAGGCTCTGATAGCGTAAATGAGAAGTTCTTCAAGGCAGGGTTGACTTTTTAATAATTAACCAGATCATTATCTTTCCCTGCCCTCAACAAAGTTATAACAGTAAAAGCGTGAATCATGCTTTAGTCATCACGAGCGGACATGCTCCACTCTTCAATAAATCCTTTCATTTTATTGGAATCGTTGGGTTTTTATTAATATTTTGATATATTGCCACACATGTTATTGAACATAGCATTTATGATTCACTGAGAGCAAAAGATGGAATCGTTTTAAGGACAAAAAACACATCCAGAGACAATTCTGTGGTTCTTCAGATCTTCCTCAGAACTCGCTGTGTACGGTTTTAATTTTTCATTTTCTGACAAAGAAACAGGGAGAAACAGAGGAAACTCATGCTCAGCATTTTCTTTTGAATTTAATTGGGTTTCTCCTCCATAATTATTCAGTTACTAATTAAACGCACATTTCGGCGACAGCGCTCCTTTAAATCCGCTGTTAACCCGATCCCAAAAGAGGCAGGATGCTTAAAACTCACAACTAGTCCCTCTGTTTTTCTCCGAGTGTGTTTTTCTGTTTCTTTTTACGCTGTGAAATCTGAAATTTGAGGGATGCAGTCACAAAGAGGGATTGTCTGACAGCAGGTTAGTTAGCTCCGTAATGCACCATCATGTTCAGCTGCTCTCTGCTTCCCAGCACGCCTCCCCAGACACCTTGTTAAATTTAGACCTGAATTAACTAGGCAGCTCTGTTTGTGTGTGAAAGAGATTGTGTCATGTATATGTGGAGCATACAGTATGGGAAAAGTGTGTGTGTGTGTGTGTGTGTGTGTGTGTGTGTGTGTGTGTGTGNTGTGTGTGTGTGTGTGTGTGTGTGTGTGTGTGTGTGTGTGTGTGTGTGTGTGTGTGTGTGTGTGTGTGTGTGTGTGTGTGTGTGTGTACACGTACCTGAGACAGTCAGTCGTTAACAGAGATGATGAGTTAGATTCGGTGCTGGAGGGTCTTTACCAGTCGAGACTTGTGCACCTCCTTCGTCAGCACTCATTCTCTCACTCTCACACACACACACACACACTGAGCTTCCATAGCCCCACTGAGGCTGTTCGGTTATGTAACAAACAAGAGAAGTGGAGGTCGCTGAGGGTTTGAGAACTCCTTTCAGGCTAATTTTAATTGATAGAGCAAAACGCAGATTATTTGTCCTGTCTTTGTTATCTGCCATAGACGCTCACGTCACAGCAGCACCACTGTGTGCTCGGACTCCCACTACTAGTCTTATTAGTGTCCACTACTGTCCTGTTTATATCCTCACTTTGAAGATATATATATTTGGACGTCAGGAATTCCACAGAAAGTATTCTTTGAAGGCGATGTTCAAATTCAAGTACACAGACATCACACGGTCAGGGAATCACTGTGACTTAAAGCAGCCAAAGACCCCGTGTGTCTGTATGTACAAAATAACTCAACAATGCAATGATGCATTTTTGCAGACTTGGTGTGAATATGTCTCGGAGGTTTATCCCCAGGTGATTAACGTTTGGAGTTGATGCAGTAGAGAAATGTATGAACGAGTTTACATCGGATTCTGATAGTCAATCTGACCGGTAAAGAGAGAGAGAGAGAGAGAGAGAGAGAGAGAGAGAGAGAGAGAGAGAGAGAGGCAAAGAGCGCTGCCACTCTGGCCGGTATTTGCTGTGAGCCTCTGACCACGTCTCTGACCTCCTCCTGTTTCGTTTTGGCTCCGGTCCACGCAAATCTCGCAGGAGCAGGCGGTTTCAACTTTTAAAAACAAACTGCTGATCCCTGTGATTTATTTAGCAGCACTAACTACAGGATGCTCACCTGCACACGCAGCACTCTCTCTCATGGGGGATAGAGGGGATGGCAGAATTAGCAGGATATTAAGGGGAATTGTTTTTCCGTCATTTTGGTTTAAAGGGGATGACATGTGTGTTCCTGTCTGAGGTCGACTGCTGGTTCAGCTTATAAATAAATGGAGTGGAAAAAAATGGAAGACAAATAAATTAAGATTGAAAAACCCTACTGACCATGGATAAAGTTGGGATTAATCTTGGTTATAGCCTGAAAACCTTTCAGCAGGATTTTCTGCCAAAGCAGACCTGGTGGTTCAAACACTCCTGCTGTAACATCCCATCGGCCGAAGTTCATTACACAAAGTGGGAGTGATCATAATCGGTGACGTGGCTCTGCCTCATGACAACAGTTGAAGTAGGAATCTAACATTAGTCATTTGACCTCTGTTAAAAACACAGTCATCCACTGTTAATTAAGTTTTATTTACCTACAGATGAGATGAGCAGTTTGTTCTTCTGAATACATAAAAATCTGTTTTCCCTCAGGACTTAATTGTGGCACCAGTATAATTCCCACAATGCTCAGCTTCATACTCCTCATCCCCAGCCATCTGTCGCCTCTTGGACTCGTTTGTAACACGACGACAATTAGCTTCCAAACCGGATTATTCATTATTTATGTATAAAGTATTTTGGGAGGAAACTTGGAGAGTTTAGAGCTACTATGATTTTAAGATATATGAAGTTGGTATCATGAGGACGCTCACGCAGTTCTTTGGTGGTATTTTGTGTTTTTATATGAAAAAGATCAAAACAAGTCGATGATTATGAGGAAACCGAGACAGTAATTTTTGTTCAGCAGTCGTCCTATAACAAATGTGAGTCTGCCATTTAGTTTTATTGTTAACCCCCCGTGTCTACGCTGCAGATGCCGTTCATCAAAGCATCTAATGTCTTTTTCTTCGCGGTGGAAAGCGGAGGTAAAACCCTTTTTCATCTCTGTTGACGTGAAAGCAAAGATCTCTGGCAATGAAAAGGTCCACAGTGTTCTCCTCTCAGAGATTTCCTGCTTCATGAGTCATAACGAGGGGAGAAACAAAGCCACGGCAAACGCTGCTCTGTTAAGACCGGCTCCAACGTGACACTCCGCAGCCAAGCGCATCCGGGAGGTCAGGCATCGAAATCGAGCAGGACGTTTTTTTTTTCATTATCAGAGCAAAAACAAACAGTGAAGGTAAATGTGTCACTGTGAGAGAGTTTCCTGTGCTGTGTGTGAGCAGGCAAGTCATTAACTTTTATGAACACACACACAATCAATCACAAATTTATGACTTTGACTGGTGCAGTATGTTTGCTCGTTTAGCTCTCCTTCAGCCGGTGACCTTGACAAGAGAGCCACTTTGTGCGACACTTTGAGAGCCACTCTGTGTTGATTTAAAGAATCCCCGGACGTTAACCTCGACCTCAATGCAAAGTCTTACGCATGGGAGGCTTTAATGGAAATCCTGCTCATTCACTTTGAATGGGGCGATGCATTAGGGTTCGAACTTACGTTAGAAATCGAGCAGAATCCAATAAAATCATGTGTAAACAAACACTCAAGCAGACGAGGGCCAATCGAATCATGTGAATATGAAATACGAGGCAGAGGCAACTGTACTTCCTGTAGCCCATGTACTACGAAACTGATCGTTATGACAGTTACGATGAAATCAAACTAGGTCTTTTTAAAATTGTTTTGATTGAGAGAGCCCTAGTGGCCGATGCAAGCTCATTAGTTCACCAGACTATATCGTGGAAATACAAAGAGTCATCATGATTTATGATCCTGTAACTCCGCCCAATAAATACCTGCATTTAATAACTGAAATTGTTCCATTTCCCCCCTTTTAACTTCCTTTTGATGTTTGTTTTTTTTCTCTGCGTGAACTTCCATTTCACCACATCAGTATTTAATCAGACGTGCCTCTCAGCTCATTCATACCCCACATGTATACAGAGATTTACCCCGCTCAGCTTCAAAGCACAGAGGAGTGGGGTGGGTGGAGAAGATGAATGCCGAACAGTGCAGGGAAGGAATTTTTTTTACTTTTTCTTTTTTTTACCTTGATTATGTTGTTGTGTCATTGCTTTTGTTTTCTGCTGATTTTTTTTTTTCTCCAAAAAATAAGCAATTTTTGTAAAGTGATCACTGAGGTAAACAAGATCACAGCTCGGAATCCGCCTCAAGGAATAGACGATGAAGAAAAATGAGGGAAAATGCAAATATTCTGCTGATTATCAACCAGACGGTGTAAAAGTGCAACACTAAACAAGGAATAAACAGTTTAGCCTCAGTGTTGGGGTAAAATTGAAAAAAGACAACACCGCTCATGTAAAAGTAGATTGAACCAGCATACGACCTTCATATTTAAAAGTATTTAAAGGTAGAAAATGTGAAGGAAGGAAGCGAAGGGGAAGCAACCATTATTCATGCTGAATTATCCATCATCCATATATTTAGTGTTCAGTGATATTCCTCTTTTACAGTCTTACTAATGTGTTCCTCAAATGTTTCTGTCTTTCCTCCAGTTATTCCCAACACCCTCAGCGTCTCCCCGCAGACCCCGGCCCCAGAAGTCCCAGAGGGCAGTGACATCACGCTCTCCTGCAACGTAACCCGCACGATCACCCAGCCCACCTACCTGTCCGTCACCTGGTCGCTGAAGAGCGGCGCGACGTCAGAGGAAATCCTGACGTTCGGTCCGCAGGGCGGTGTGGTCACGGGGCTGAAGTACGCCCGGCGCTACGCCGACGGAGGCATCCGATTGGTCCCGGGGAAGAACGGAGTGTTTGAACTGGTGATATCGAGAGTGACGACCTCTGACGGAGGGACCTATGAATGCAATGGAACGGAGTGGACACATGAAAATGGAGGGAAATGGATAAAAATCGTGGAGAATACGAAAGAGATGGGGACTGTTAACGTTATTCCTACAGGTAAGAAAAAAACATTAACCACTGATGAAACATCCGTGCATTTGGAGACAGAGTCTGCACAAGAGTGCTTCCAGATGCTTTGGCTTCACGTTAGAGGAGCTAGCATTTCGTCCGTCTTTCCTGTCATTGTACCAAGGGTGATTAAACTCATGTAAGGCTGAAAGGTGACTCTCTCTCACTCTCTCTTAAAAATAAGAGGTGACATGCACATGATTAGAAATCGGAGTTCTCGTCTGCAGCACCTGAAAAAGATGTTCGCAGGTGAAAAGCCCTGAAAAGAAAACTCTGAGTCACATAACGATTGCGATTCTTACCCTCTGTGCCTCTGGATCACATCCTAAAATAAACCTAATTAATAGTGATAAGACAAAGAAGTGAAAGAGAACTCATGGCACCTCACCACCCAGAGGCTCTTGTTCACACTAGACGAGCCAGCGTTCATCCACCCCCCAGGTTGTGTTTCGGAGACGAGACGAAAATAGAACAACCTGCCCCTGAGTCGGTGTAACGTTGTAATAAGTCCCTCTTTAAACTTGGCGTTTGGAGGTTCCCTGCACATCCTTAGCACTGGTTTTATAGCTGCAGTGAAATTAGAATTTGTGGATTATTTTTCCTGCAGAGATAATCTTCAAGTGGCTCTTTCTCGCATCTTCATAAAGAGAGGTTACTTCACTGCATGCGTTTGCATTTTCCTGCCACTGTGTTGGATATGGGAAAAAAATGAAGGATGAGAGGAGAGGGAGAGAGACGTGGGAGAGTCGCCTCTCTCTGTTGTGAGGCTTTTCTTGCTGTGTCCCGGGAGGCTCGTGACCCTCATGCCCGTCTTTCTGTCTTATTCTGTCCTGAGAGAGGCCCAGCGCACACACACTCTCACACTCTCTTTCATTCACCGTGGTTGCTGTGGTCACCATATCTTATATCTTTCCAGGTTACCATATCCTCTTAAGTGTTGGAAAACACACCCAGTGGTTTGTAATGAAACCAGAGATGAGCAGCACACACACACAGAGGTCTCGGTCCCAGGTCCATTGTGTCCCGGTCAGTTCATATTGACTTACTGACTTGAGTAAAGAGGATGAGAAAAGTCAAACAGGGCGGGCTTTGTCTCTTTTGTCCTCTCCCAGACACCATACAGAGACTCTCTTACCACATACTGCAGCGTTGGTTGTTACTGGAGACCGAATCCAAACCCGCTGATCCGACTGTTGGTTTGAAGATACACAGGAGAAGACTGACGGTCCTTTTTAATTTGGAGGACGTCTTTTCTCCGAGAGGATTTTAAAGATCGTCTCTGACATTGACAGACGACTATTTACATTGTCTTTTAAGATTCTGAAGCTTGTGTATCTTGTCCGCTTTAACGTAACGTCACCTCTGAGGGTTTCTTCTTCCAATGGGTCGTTTTTCTTATTTTATAAGATCCATCTTGTAAATAGAGGGAGTGAAGAGAGAGTTGAGGAAATTCATAACATTTACACCTAGAATGCCACTCAGTAAAGCACATACCTCCGCCAAGGCCCAAAAGTCCCCTTATGAAACCCCATTTAAATTCTCTCTATCCAGATTTTTATTTGGATCTGCACCTTATTGCACAGACTCAAAAATATCAGTCTCCATAATGTGTCTGATTTTTATTATTCTGTGTGAAATCCAGGGAAATGTCCAAAAACTCACGATGTTAAAGAAAATGGAAACAGTTGGAACCAGGAGATGATTCGTTTTCATTGGACTGAAACACTTTACAATCAGTCATGTCAGAATACTATAATAAATGCAGCATAAATATTTAGACTGATAATGTTTAGCCTTTATTTTGTTGATGCACTATATTGCCTGTACACATCAGGGTGGATGAACTGACGCTGTCTCTGTCCTCTCAAGGTCAGTCCCTCAGTGTGAAAGCCACATCCCCCTCCACGCCTCTGCTCCTCTCTCCCGGCGACACGCTGACGCTCCTCTGCTCCGTCGCCGCCGACAACCTGCAGGCCCTCGCCCTGGAAGTGACCTGGCTGGCTGGCGACCGCGACCTCGTCACCATGGAGCGCAGCGGGGTGGTGATCGCCAACGTGTCAGCGAGCGGCGCGCAGGGGAAGCGCGGGGAGGCGAGCCTGGAGCGTACGGGAGGCGGGGAGTACAGGCTGGGGGTGAGGGCGGTGAGCGTGGAGGACGGAGGGGAGTACACCTGCCGAGTCCGGGCCTTCATCGACAAAGGAGGGAAGAGCACCGGAGGAGGAGGGAGGTGGCACATGGCGGCCGAGAAGAAGTCCAGCCCCGTGACGGTGAAAGTCTCACAGATCAGTGAGTGAAACGTTTACATTTCACATTTTAATACATGACATATATACATATATCTAAAAGTTTTATCATTTCAAATGGAATGAGCCTCCATACAAACAAAACTTCATATAAAACTTCATTGACAAGTCACTGTCTGCGTGCTGCAGCATCACGGTTGCTTTGGGGAAATCATCCTGACATGAACCTACACATCATGTGGAGTTTTTATATTGCACTGCTGCAGCGTCGTCCGCTCGCTGTTTAATTCCTATTTCTGCTGAGTGAAAACGAAGAGGGATGCTCGACAAAGAGCACAGCTCTTGTCGATGCTGGACAGTCCTGATTCCCCATACAGTGGATAAGAAAAGAGCACTGGTGAAGAAGTTGTGTGTTCTATATGATTTCACGAGTTGTGGATGTGTACCAGTGAATCACATGAATCTCAAGGGGAAATTCTTTTAATCCTCTAGTCGGCCTGTCGACTCCTGCTGAGAGGACAATTGATTAGTCATGCCTCTCCTGCTCTTTGCTACCTCTGGGTATGCTGTGTGTGTGTGTGTGTGTGTGTGTGTGTGTGTGTGTGTGTGTGTGTGTGTGTGTCAGTGTGTGTGTGTGTGTGTGTGTGTGTGTGTGTGTGTGTGTGTGTGTTGCTCTGTACAGTTGACACAGCAATCAATTACTGCCGTGGTGGGTGGTCTCTCTGTCTCCCTGCTCGTCTCCATCTCTTCTTCGCTCTGCATGAATCTTACAGCGCGGCCCTTTTTATTTAAGTGAGGCTGAGTGTCGCTGGCTCGTGAGATGATGTGTGGGATATGCAACCAGACGTGGAATTAGTTTGCATTTCCTCAAAACAATAATAAGATGCTTACTGACGCCTTCATGTTCAATGTTCTCCTTGAATTAGACCTTTACAGTTTTTGTATCATCAAAAATGAGATTATTCCTTTGTGTTGAGCTTCATATTTCTGCTGTAAAGAATCAATAACTGGGAAAAGGCTAAAAAAAAAACATCCACCCACCAGCACCTTTCAGTGATTCCCCCCAGATTAACTGTTTATTTCTTCTTTGTCCAATCTACACAACACCTGAATCGTCAGAACGACACATGGTGGTTTTCTTGGGAGGTTCCGAACAGGAACTATTTGTTGGCAGAAGCGTTGACTTCCTGTACCGTTAGATCCGTGTTCTGTTGGTTCTGCGGATTCCGACTGATCAGAGAACCAGCAGCAGATGGATTTCAGACAAACTCCCAATTCCCACATCTTAATGAAATAAATGGACTGTAATGAATAAGTAAATACTTGTTACATAATCACTTTCAGTTCAGCTACAGTAGCACATTCAAGGCTTTGGAGAATTCCCCCTGAAGGGTGTTGGCACATGGACTCAGCTAAAACTTTACTGTGCAACTGCCATTGTGTTTCAGGGCGGTGGCAGTTAACCATCTTAATTAATATTTATTTAGTCCAGTTTGCTTTGGTGCTTCATAATATTGTCAAACTCCGCTTGGAAACTCTTCACGGTTCTTTTCCCCCTCTGTGGAGTTTGAAATGGACGATAGCCTCTAATATTGACATCAGAAGAACAACAATTAAGTATTGATTTGATTAAAATGTAATTATCCCGCTGAGAACCTGCTTTCATCTTTTTTGATTTAATCATTTTAGTTTTCATTTCTCCTGAATCAGGAGGCACTTGCTATTTTCACGTTAAATAAACCCAACTTCCCTTTAGTTGTGTCAGCTTCACACTCGTCCTCTCTGTGTTTTTGTGGCTCTGCCGTCACTTCCCCTCTCACTTGTCTCCTCCATTGTTTTCCTCTGTGGCCGTCGGCTTCGTCTAAGCTCTGCTTCAAAATGTTGTCCACTTTTCACAAGCTCTCAGACCCAGAGCATAAGTCTGAGTTTGCACAGCTACTTCACAATAAAAGGCTCCTGTACTGAATTGTTTTTCCCCATGTTACTACTACAGTGCAGTATTAGGGCCAAGTATTAGAAAAGAAATGACAAGAGGAAGATTTTTAGCGTCCATCCTTTACTATATTTTAAGAATTCCTTGAGGGAATTATTTGAATTTTGGCACAAACATTGTTGGACTAACAGATGAACTGATTTGAATTTGCTGGTCGAAGGTCAAGGTCACAGTGGCCTCGCAAAACATGCTTTGGGCCATTTTCTGCAAATGTTGACCAGTTGTCACTTGGACTCAAACATTAATCATCACCATCTGAGTCATATGAGCCTGGAAAAATGTATGTAGATTGAAATTGGGCGGTAATTGTATTTAATTGCATTTGGAGAAATAACATTGGAGAAAGTGGAAAATGTCAATGTTACTAAAGAAATGCAAAAGGCCTCATTTCTTTATGTTATGCCTGACACAAATTCTCTTCCATATACTGCAACTATAAATTCTGTATAAACTACAGCTCCCATAAGGACCCACTGTGAAGACCTTCTGCAAACCTAATGCTCTAGTTTCAGATGATCAATCTGTTTTTCTCACAGGAAGAATGGGGAATCAGCGTAAGGACGGTTCTGTTGTCTATAATTTACTGAAATACACATGCACATAACTAAACTGTGTGTGTGTATATACGTGTGTGTACGTGTCAGTGTGCTGGTCGCTGTACATCCTGTATGTCAGCTCAAGCCCTCAGTTATAACCACAGCCGTATCTCATCGATGCACAGAAGTTTGTAGAAGCCTCAAGGAGCCATGTAACATTTAGAAATATCAACCAGGCACACACACACACACACACACACACACAGCTGAAATATCAGGCTGCACGATCGAGAACATTCTGTCAATATCTGCCGTGTTGTGTGTGTGTTTACACGGATGATAGAGTGCACAAGCTTTCTGCATACTAATGGACAACAATGTGTGTGTGTGAATGAAACTGAGTTGATGAAGCCTCTCTCAAGAGTAAATGCTACACACACATTCATGTTTCAAACACTGTGTGTGTGTGTGTGTGTGTGTGTGTGTGTGTGTGTGTGTGTGTGTGTGTGTNTGTGTGTGTGTGTGTGTGTGTGTGTGTGTGTGTGTCACATACATGGGGGTATGAGGCTGTTCTCACTGGTGGAACTCCTACATTTTTGCCTGAGGGCATAAATTCCTTCATGCAGCGTTTGCCGAGACACACACACAAGCTTATACACACCATGAGAGCAACATTTCTAATTGAGTGAAGCTCACATTTCATCCTCACTCCCCTTCAGTATTAACTTAAACTATGCATGTGTGTGTCATCCACCAGTCGGCTCCTATTCTATTGATGGTGCGGCCTTGAGGTTACTTCCTCTTCCCACGATGCTTTGCTACCAGCCGAGCTCACCAGGAAGCGCATAAAGAGTTGGAGAACTTGTTTAAGAGCTCCCCACAGCACACACTCTCCCACACACACACACAAACACACACACACACACATTCCTCTCACCCTTGACACTTCCCCTGTGTGTGTGTGTTGTCAGTTAACACGACTTCTAAACGTTTCATAGCATATCAGAATATTTATGAAAATATTCTGCGTATAAGTGGTCATGAATGTGTTAAATGGACGTGGCCAGACTGACCCCACACTACGACACGATGAGGAGAAAAAAGAGTGGATCCCTGTGCAGTTCAGCTGCTCCTCCACATGGAGAGGAGCCGGTGGAGGTGGCTCAGGCCCAGACTGAGGTCACCCCCCCCCCCCACTGCTCGATCAGACGTGCTCCAGCGGGACTGAGAGGACACCCCTGGTGGGACTGCGTCTCACGGCTGACCTGTGAGGTGCAGGTGGAGCTGAAGAAAATGAATTTAGGAAATGATATTAAGAAGCATAACTCGGCCCTCTAATCCACACTGCTTCATATCAAATTTTTTTAATTCGCCAGAGATAGCCAGTGTTTTCAGTTTGTCTTGTGAACATGGAATCTCAAGAATGCCTCGAGAGAATCCTTTCAAATTTGGCACAAAAGCTCACTTTGACTCGTGCTTGAACTGATCAGATTTGGGGGGGCCAAAGATCAGGGTGACCTCATATTAATATTGTGAAAGCAATATGTCAGGAACACCTGGAGGGACGGAAACTGCACTGGTTGGATGCTTGCATGTATGTAATTGGCAAACAGGTTGGTTTCACTGAAGTGAATAAGTGGGCTGTTTGTTCACACTGTGCTAATGTCAGTCTGAACACCTGAGGGCGTTCCTGGTTTTCTAAATGTTAAATGTTAAAAAAAAAAAATTGCGTAGGCTACCTGAATAAAAGAGTCAACTTCAGTCAACTTTATTTCATGCAGGATTAAACGTATGACTTAGTCGTTTTTCTTCCCTGAGGAAACGGTTTAAGTTGTTTCCTGCAGCTTTTCCGGCAGTTTCCTAAACCCGGTGAAAATCTCTCCTTCTGTGAAATTCAAAGCAGCTAAATTAAGAAGGCTGTGCACCGCCACCGGCTGTATGATGCTCCAGTCTGTGGTTTTATGATGTTTTAGCATCTATACAGTTCAGCATCTGTGTCTGGAGTCTGGAGAGTTTATCATTTAGATCTTTTACATCGCACAGGATTCCTCGTTTGTCGATTTTGAGCATGTAGCATGAAAATGATCTCGGGAAACAATAGTGATAAACATTTCGCTCATAAAATGTGAAATTAATACACTTCTCAATGGGATTAAATATCTCATAATAACATAGAGACAATGGCAAGCCTGACAAAGGTGGTAACTGATTATTGTTATCTGCCGGCACACTTGTAATCTGATTACATGTAGCTGTATGTGCTGAATGTACCAGATGTTCAGTGTGTGTCAGCTCGTACTTCCCCTCCGTCCTGTGAGACGCGGCGTGTTGACAGAAAGAGCGAATGGCTCGAGTGGCTTATTCATATCTGGTTTTCCTATCACACACACACACGAATGACAACACACACACTCCTGCGCACTTAAACCGGAACGCCTTTGGTTGTTTTGGCAGAAGACAGCATTCCTCTCCACCTGACTGGTTGGCAGTTCAGCTCCCTGCCCTGCACAATGGCACCGTCACTGGATTCAGTGAAGTCTTGGATGTAAAGTTCACACATTCTGTGTCTGTTTACATTTTTGTGCGGCTGCTATAGTTGGCTGTAACTTGATTAAACAATTTGTTCCGGCATATAAACCTTCTATTCACATTATCAACCGACATAATCTAGATTTTGACACTTCTATGAGGACAAACTGTAAAATCAGGTGAAAGTCACCCTAAGGCCCAAATTCTTTAAGTTGACATTCTTCTTTTATGATTGTTTATCACCAGGTTACAGTGATATTCTCTATAAATAGGATAAAATAATGAATTGGATACCATAACAGTGGAAACACAGCAGTCTGTGGCAAATCTCCATTAGATTCACTGCAAACTAAGAGTCTCTAACTAAGACGAGCTCCTTAAAACGAACACATGCAGCGCGACGCAGTTTGAAAGCAGTTTGTTGTGTTATTGACATTGACCTATTTTTCCTCGCTCTGCCTCCCGGGGCCACACGATTAAAAAAAAAAACTAAAAAAACCTTATTTTTAAAACTTTAATTTTTTTAGCTAACATGAGATTTGTTTTCTTCGATATTTATATCCACAGAAACAGCACACCGCATTAATCTAATCACTAAGTCACTCTGCTGAAGTCGTAAGCGTTCGTAATGTCTGATTTTATCTGCACTAAATTGCACCAACTCACAGAAATCAGACCTTTAAATGTGCCTGATTTATTTCTTTTTTTAACCACAAATAATTTCTTTGGAATTTGGTGAAAATAAAAAAAGTTTCAGAATTTTATTTCTCCAGTTCAATGCCAAAGTTTTATGGGTTCTTCCTTGCCCCATGTCCCGAGTTTCAAGAAAATAGTTTAAACAAAAACATAAGGTTTTGGTTGATCACTTCTATGTCTTGTTCCTACATTTATAAGCTGCTCTATAATAATGGACGTTTGGTGAATGAACCTTTTAATTAACCCTGATAAAAAGCCAATGCTATTTCTTTTATATTTCTATTGTAAAGCATGGGAGCAGCTGAAGGTGTGGGACGACTGCTTACTATAGAGAGAGGGACAGCGAGAGGCACGCGGCTATTAGTCATGAAACCTTCACACATTCTTATGGAGTGTGTGTGTGTGTGTGTGTGTGTGCGTTTCACAGCAGATGGTGACGGCGCATGAGTCAGTGTGTGTCTGTGACGTCCAGCTGACATCACGCGAAACCTCCTCCTTTGCCAAACACACACTCATGCACACACTTTGTATGTGTAGCGTTTCATCTCCTTGTGTGTTGGTCGGTGGCAGGTATCAGCATGTCGACACGCTAATAACACACTAGTAACTGCTTTTATATGCGTGTGTGTGTGGCTCAGATGTCTCACAAAGTGTGGTAATCTTTTGTGTGTGTGTATCCTGTTTATTGATGTGTAAAGGTGCAATCTGGATGTCTAACTGAGAAAACCTGCTTCCCCACCTACTGTACACACACACACACACACACACACACACACACACACACACACACACACACACACACACACACACACACACTGACGCACACCTCATCTCCCACTGTTAACAGTGTTATTTCAGGTCTATTTTTGTTGTCTGGTTCTGTCACACAGCTCTATTTAAGGACTGAACCACTAAAAGGAAAATGGATTCACCGAGGATTGTTCTGGTGATTCTGTGTAAAGTGTCTAAGATCCCGTTAGGGTGGGAGTCATCTCTTAAAGTTTAAACTACATAATCGAAAGAGTAAATTTGAATCTCTCTTGTTGTTTCTCCCCAGTGCCGAGCTACACGCTGACCCTTGAGCCTGCCGTGAACCCCCAGGTGACAGCCGAACCCACAGAGCTGGATTGCCACGTCACCAACATTACCCATGTACCCCTAGGAGGCCGACTGGGCGTCACCTGGGAGCACTCCGCACTTCCAGGTACTTTCTTTTTACCTCAGCTGGTTTCTCAATCTTAAATAGAATTGCCATGAAACATTTTATAGAGTCTGTCATCTGTCCGATCTCCTGCAGGAGAAGGGGATGACGCCAAGACCTCGCATCACATCGGCTCCCTGGACGGAAGTGGCAACCTGCTGCCGGGGTCCGCGTACTCCGACCGGCTGAAGAGCGGCGCGATGTCTCTGACCAGAGTCCAGCCGAACACGTTCAAGTTGCGAATCCTCCGCACACAGGTGGGAAAACTCAAACGAAGAATGGCAGAAACATTTGTGATTTCAGTATTCAGATAAATTAACTGTGTATATAGGGAATAATCCTATTTACTAACGGTGAAACCAACATTTGTTTGGAGACCAATTATGCATGTAATTTATATAAATTCATGCATTTTAACATTGTACGTTTTGATATTTCACTTTGCTCATGTTTTAGAATAAACAGACACAGATTATATACAGTATATGACACTTGTTTCTAA